TCCTGGAGCGCGGGGGCCTGGAGCGACGGAGACCTCGGAGGAGGGGCTTCCTAGGCTGGGCCGGCTTGCAGTGCCACACCCCTTCGGTCCCGGAGATGGGGAAAACCTGGGCCCCCTCCGCCGGGACCAAGCCCGGAGCACCCCAGCACCCCCGGTACCCCAGGTACCGAGCTCCGCCCTCCGCGCAGGCGCCTCCATAGACTGCAGGAACACTACTTTCCAGTACCCAACGTCCCAGGCCAGCCACTGCATGACCCGTTGCTGTTTGACTTGACCTGTAGCTTTTTTTCTGTGTGTGTGTGTCTGTGTCTGTTTTTTTATTTTATTTTTATTTTCTGTGTATGAGTGTATTGCCTGCATGTGTGTAAGTGCACTTGTGTCATGCAGTGCCCACAGAGGGGCGTCAGACCCCCTGGAACTGGAGCTTTGGACGGTTGTTAGCCACCATGTGGGTGCTGGGACTAGAACTCAGGTCCTCTGCAAAAGCAGCCAGTGCTTAACCGCTGAGCCATCTCTCCGGCCCCTGTTTGTTTATTTTATGTGTATGTGTTTTTACTGCTTATGTGTATGTGTTTTGACTGCATGCAAGTGCAACCGTGGGTTCACTGCCGGCATAAGTCAGAAGATCCCCTGGAACTGGAGTTAAGATTGGTTGTCAGTCACCATGTGGGTGCTGGGAACTGAATCCTGGCCCTCTGCCAAGAGCAGCAGGTGCTCCTAACCTGTGAGCCATCTCTCCAGCCACAGTGATCTGGTTGTATGTGTGTGTGTTTGAGACATGGTCTCCCTGAAGGTCCAGCTGTCCTGGACTATTACGTAGACCAGACTGGCCTCAAACTCAGAGATACCTGTCTCTGCCTCCCTGGTGCTGGGATTAAAGGCACTCACCACCAGGCCTGGCTGTAACCTGGTTTTTGACCCTTGCATACGATATGCCCCAAGCACTACTGGCACCCAGTCTTCCTATCCTCAGGCCTCCACAGCAAGCACTTTACCTGCAGAGCCATCTCCACACACACCCCTTAGCTCTTCTTTGCACTGTCATTTGGAACACTGCAGGAGATGGCTTGTTGTGGGACATGGCTTTTGTGACATTAGGCCAGTCCTGGCTCAGCCAATCCAGGTGGGAGGGAAGACTGCTGTTCTCCACCTAGGTCCCTTCCTGGGAGGGCCACCCAGTGCTTGCTGGTGAGGTGGGTCTGTAGCCCTGCCCCTTCCACCCTCTGCAGATTCTCCCGGCATTCTTCAAAATCCCAAACTCTAGAGTTCTCATGGAGGCACACTTGATAGTAAGTTGAAAAATGCTGAGTGAGCCCCATGCATGTGGACCTGGGCTCATACATGCCCAGAGAACTAAGTGGGCCCAGCAAGCACCAGCTTTCTTCTCCCACCCCAGACTGTGGGGTACTGTCACACTCAGAATGTTAGGGGGCAGCGAGGTTTGCTCTTTGCCAGTGTCTAATGCTCCCAGGCTTCAGAGCTGCCTGTCCCTAAAGTGGATGGTGCTGGCAGAAACATCTTCCTCAGACAGTGATACCTCTCCTCTGCCCCAAGACACCTAACCACACTGATGACCAGGTGAGCCCTTTCACATTGGGTTGCTGGCTGGGTGTGTCACTTTCTGGTGCGTTCTCTCCCACAGGTGATCTGAGTTGACAGCAAGCATACTGGAATTTGTGGCTATCGAAGTGATGCACCGTGGCAGTGAACACACTGAGGAAATGGATTTGGATCAACTAGATCTGAATCCCAGAATCATTGCTGCAATTAAAAAAGGTGTGTGTGTGTGTTACGTGGACAGGTATGTCCAGTGGAGTGACAGCAGTACACTTAAGGTAAAACTACGTGTCAGTGGCTGACCAACCCTGTCCCCCAAGCCCCACGCAGTCCTGCGTGGGAGTGTGCCTTGGGCTTTTGTGTTCTAACTGAAAGGGCTTTTAAAGTTGATTTTATTTGTCAGTAATACACATACCTGAATCTTTTAACCTTTTTTTTATTTGCATCTGGATCTAAACCACATGTGTTGCTGCATTTGCTTGTAATGTTGCTGAGTATCCACCGCTTCCTATTAGGGCTCAGAGTTGAGGTCACTTGTGCCCCACATGCCCCCACTTCCTCTGCCTCGCCATCACCAGAACAAATGGCTCACTATGCCGTTGGCCCTTGTTGAACCAGGACTGTTATGACTGTTCATCTTGACGCATCTTTGGTATTTTTCAAGGTTAGTCGTGGCCACTTTCTCATGCACTGAGTTTTCTACATCTCGCTGGCTTTTCCTACCTGCTCCCTGATCTGCCGGGCACACTGGCTCCCTTCTAAGTGCTCTGGGGCACTGGACAACTCACCTACTGTTTTCTGGTCAGTTACCCCAGGCGGACTCCACCAGTGCTGCAGCGTGCCCACTGCCCCAGTGCCTGCTGCAGGGCTGAAGTTCCGGGGCTCCCCTTGTAGTCTCCTTTGTCTTCTGGATCTGAGTTAGGGACATGGGGACAAGGGGGCTCCTGAGGGTTACACAGTGAGAAGCATACACAGGGCTTGTCTCCCGCGTGGCCTCATGCCAGAGTTGCTGCAGCTACACACACCCTGCCCATACTCTGAGGACAGGGAGGAAGCAGCCCTGCCACGGAGCTGTTCTTGTCACTGTGTCCCCTTGGAAACTGTCTCTGAGGCACCAGTAGCAGCTTTGCCACTGAGGAGCCTCCAGCTCTGCTCCATGACCAGGAGTCTGTCTGGCGGAAGCACACCGGCTCCCCTTGCCTCTGGTTTCTGTTCTGTTGTTTACTGTCATCTACTCTGACCTGTCTTGTGACCGGCACATTCAGCACTGGCATTACTGAAGGTGACAGGATCCTGCAGTTGAATGTCCCCTTACACTGAACCACCCATTCCCTATCTTCATGACATTTTCTTTTTGCTGTTGTATGAACTGGATGGATGTATTTACAGTATTTTTTCTTTCTACTGGTTTGAATGTAGGAAGTAAATCCAAGCCCAGAGTTAATTTCTTTACCCTCCTCAAGGAAGTCCATGGTGCACTAATTATTGTAAGGCGTCCTTTGCTTCCCCGAGCTCCCACCGCTTACCTTTGTCTGTGGTAAGCAGCACCCTATCCCTGAGCTCCACACCCAGCCCCACACACATGCTTTTTAAAAAATTTTGTTTTTAGTGTGTATGCGTGTACTGCCTAAATGCACCCATGTTGTGCAATGCTCACTGAGGTTAGAGTTTGTCAGATTCCCCCGGAACTGGAATTACAGATGGTTGTTAGCCCCCATGTGGGTGCTGGGAATTAAACCTGGGTCATCTGCTCCTAACTGCTGAGCCATCTCTCCAACCCCAAAACATACTTTTTAAAAGGCAGGGTCTTGGCTGTGTAGCCCAAGCTGGCCTTAAACTAACTGCTGGGCTCAAGTGAGCCTCCTGCCTCAGCCCCAAATAGCCAGGACTGTGGGCAAAGAATAGAATAGGGTGATGATCACGTCCTCATAGCAGCCAGGATTTGCCTTCATCTGGCTCCTGCTGCTGCTGACACGAAGTCCTGAAGCCCAGGTCACAGGTGTACAGCTCTGGTGCCTCCAGCAGGCCCCTCCCTCTCTTCACCATCCACTTGTCACACTACCCAACATACACACACACACATACCCCGTCCTTGCTGTGTGACCTTACTATAGTCTGACTTTCCTGTGGTTTGCCTGTGTAATTTCAGGCAAACTGAGGTCAGTGAAGGAGGTTCTGTGCTACTCCGGACCAGATCTGCAGAGACTCACCAGTCTGCCTCCCCACGACGTGCAGCACCTGCTCAGAGTGGCCTCCCTACACCTCCAGGGCAGCCAAGTCCTCACAGGTGGGCAGCTGGCACCTGGTGAGCCTGCAGGGTGATGTGTGGTACCTATCCGGCCCACTGGGCCCTGGCTGTGGTGGACACCATGCTCCACAGGCCCAGACTCCACGTTGGGCATGATCTCATGGCCCTGAGCCATGAGAGTTTGGGCCATGCTAGTCCTAGAGTGGGTGGTCAACAGAAGGAATGGCTAAAGGGCATCAGAGGCCCTTGTTTGACTCAGAGAAGGGGCAAGGCTGTGTGTGCAGGGAGACTGCTATGCATCAAATTCTGTAGCTGTGTCTCCTTGAGAGGCCTGGGGTGGCGGAGGGACCTTCCAGACCCTAGCATCATATGTACCTGACAGGGTTCTCTGACCCTTGTGAATTTCTCAATATCCTGGCCCCCTGGGCACAGGCAGGCTGGCCTGCTGTGGTCTCCAGACAGCTCCTCCCTCTCACCGTTGCCTGAAGCACCAAAGGTGAATGTGCCATCGGAGGGAGGGGGAGGTACCGGGTACCAGGACCCTACAGAACATGTATCACAGAGCACTAACCAGTGGGGCCTCAGCTCTTCTACAAAGCTCTCCCGTCCACCCCAGAGGCCCTCACTGGGAAGGACGGGGTGGGGTCCAGCAGCGTGGACTGCTGAGACTGGGCTTCTGGGTGGCACTTCGGGACACACCGTCCACGTGATGGTTTTCATCTCTGATTTCTGAGCTGTGAAGGTCCAACTGCTCAGGTAGTTCCTGCTGTTCATTCTGTCCGTGTACTGAAGCTCTACAGAACTGCACAGACTCGAAACAGCCAATTGGGGTACCCATCTGATTGGGGTTTGGGTTCCTTCAGCTTGTGCCCACCAGGGAAGGGCCACGTCTTAGAGTATGTGTGAAACAGACTGGGAAGTGTGACAGGAACACTCTTGTAGGTTTAGCATGTGCGGCACTTAGTGCTCTGGCCAGGCTCCCTCCCTTTGATCTCCCCACACCCTCTGCAGTGTGGCCACTTTGCTGATCCTCCAGCCACACTGCATGGGGAGCCCGCACTTCCTGAAGAGCCTCAGGCACACAGGCCCTAACAGGTTCTGGGCAGGAAACATGGCCTGACCCCTTGCCACCCTGCAGCACTGCACCTGTTCCAGAAGAGAGAAAGCTTCCCCCAGCAGCACCAGCGCCTGAGCCTGGGCTGCCCCATCCTGGATCGGCTCCTGGGCGGTGGCTTGCCCCTGGAGGGCATCACTGAGCTAGCTGGCCGCAGTTCTGCAGGGAAGACCCAGCTGGCATTGCAGCTCTGCCTGGCTGTGCAGTTCCCACAACAGTATGGAGGCCTGGAGGCTGGTGAGTTGGCTGCCCCTTCCTGAGGGGCAGGGAAGGTAGGGTCCCAACCAGATGGCACTCTGGCCCCTGCCTGCTTGGGGGGCTACTTTCCACTGATGGGGGGAGGGGGTAGTGGCTACCTCTCAGGCAGTTTCCTAAGATTCCCATCTTCCTTCCAAGAGAGTAAGGGGGAGAAGGAGCTGGGCTTGGGCTTTGGGAAAGCAGCAGTTGGCCCTGTGGTTGCTACAGAGCTCAAGCTGAGGCCCCCCACCCTGCACTCAGTCTATGTTGCCTGCAGTGCACTTGGCCCACAGACCCAGGAAGGCAGGGAACATGGGATATGTTCCTTCTAGTTAGGGCTGGAGGACAACTGAGGCTCCTGTGAAGTGAGCAGCAAGTGGACAGCTTGGTTAGAGTGAAGTTCTCAACAAGGCCTCCTGGGCCTTCTGTGGGTCAGAGCTGCCTGCAAAGCAGGCCAGGGTCCTGCCGCCTGAGCTGTGCACCCTGTGCCCATAATGGGGAGGGGGTTTGGGGACCAAGTCAGACTCCTGAGCATTACCGTGTTCTGCACCAGCCTGGCTCCCACCACAGCAGCACTATACGTGGGCTTCTAGAGTAGCACCACAGGGTGGGAGGTGGTTAGCATCTCCATGGTCTGCAGCAGTGCAACACGTAGTCTGCGTGGTGTCGGCCTCTGGAGCGCCTTTTACGACACCCACTTTAAAGTTACCTTCTTATTGCTTGCTGAGTCTCAGGGGTTCTCATCGGGCTGCGGTGGTACACACCCGTGACCCCAGCATTTGGGAGGCAGGGGTACAAAGGTGAATGCAAGTTGGAGACCAACCTGGTCTACGCAGTGGATTGCAGTGTAGCCTGGGCTACAGGGTGAGACTCCAATATGTCCTGGATATTATTTATTTCCTTTTTCTTTCTGGTCTTTTTTGAGACAGGGTCTCCCTGTAGCCCCAGCTAGCCTGGAACTATGTAGACGAGGCTGGCCTGGAACTCACAAAAATAAACCCTCTGCCTTCCGAGTGCTGGGATTAAAGATGTGTGTGACATCTTTTTTTATTTTATTTAATCTAATTTTATTTATTTAGTCTTTTTGAGACAGGGTCTCCCTGTAGCCCCACCTGGCCTGGAACTCTCCTTGTAGACTGACCTCAAACAAGAGATCACCTGCCTCTGCCTCCCTGAGCACGGGGATTAAGGGCGTGCGTCGCTGTGCCTGACTTAATTTTAATTTTTGATTTACTTTTTTTTTTGGTCTTTTTGAGACAGGGTTTCCCTGTAGCCCCAGCTGTCCTGGAACTCACTATGTAGACCAGGCTGGCCTTGAACTCACAGAGATCTGCCTGCCTCTGCTTCCCTAGTGCTGGGATTAAAGGCGTGTGGCGCCCCGTGATTTACTTATTTTTGTGTATTTTGCCTACGTGTAAGTACACCACATGCATGAAATGCCAGAAGGACATCAGATCCCTTTGGAACTGGAGTTACAGATGGGTGTTAGCCGCCATGTGTGTGCTGAGAACAGAACAGGGTCCTCGCCAAGAGCAGCCAGTGCCATTAACTACTGAGCCATCTCTCCAGCCCGTCTTTACTTAATGGTGTTCTTTAAAACAGCTTTAATTCTCTGAAGTGCAGTTTCTCTGTTTGCTTGTGCTTTTGTGTTTTTTTACAAACCACTGCCCAATCTAAGGTCAGGAAGACTGCTGGTAGCTTTTCTTCTCAGAGCTCTACAACTTTAGCCTGTGGGTGTCCAGTAATCCCATCACCGTCTCTGGAAAAATGAACATTTCTCCATTGAGGCACTGGCATCTCTGTTGAAAACCCACTGCCGACAAACAGGGCTTCCTGCCAGGGGCCGCTCTTTTCAGTTGCTGGATCTCACCACCTTTGGCACAAGGTCTGGCCCAGCAGTGTACTATGCAGGGGTGTGCTCCAGGTGACCTCTGACTGCTGCTCTTGTAGCTACCTCCAAGGCACTGGTGTCCCCAGGTAGCCCAAGTCGAGGAAGCAGAGGCCCAAGTAGCTTGTAGGAGGTATCCTACATCTGAGGCATTTCCAAAAGTCCCTAGGTCCTGGTGATCAACTCTGCCATGCCCAGTCCAGTGGGGAACAGGGAAGCAGGAGTGAGCTAGCAGGATAGCCCAGCATGGGGCATGTGTGTACCTGGTATCAGATTGGAGATCTAGCCTGTGTTCCCCAGAGGTGGAAAAAACCAGCCATAACCTGCTGCCCTCCCAGGTTCTGCTTTTCCCTTTGCTTTGTCTGGCCACAGGCCCACTTCCGGTCCTCCATGCACACCGGGTGCTGTCTTCCCAGGGGCTGTCTATATCTGCACAGAAGACGTCTTCCCCAGCAAGCGGCTATGGCAGCTCATTGGGCAACAGCAGCGGATGCGGACAGACGTGCCTGAGGAGGTGATCCAGAAGATCAAGTTCAGCAATCAGATCTTCATAGAGCACGCAGCAGATGTGGTGAGTGTGTTTCTGCTCACAAAGGGGCAGTCACTGTGCAGAGACCAGGCTCAACTCAGGACACGTGGTATGTAGGGACTCACAGACGGAGCCAGAGGGTAAAAGTCACTAAGAGGAGACGCCAACGTCTTGAAGACCAGAATCCATGTCAGATGTTGGAGGGCAAGGAGTCAGATGAGACATGGGAGGAGGGGCAGAGAGGGAGCTGCTGCCTGTGGGCCAGGCACCTGGGAATGCTAGCACACTTTCTCCAGCATGTTCAGAAACAAATGAATTTCACCCCAAAAGTAATCAAGCTGAGTGGTGGTGCCTAACACTTGGGAACGGGAGGAAGGAGGATCTGTGAGTTCCAGGCCAGCCTGGGCTTCATAGAAACTAAGATTCTGCCTCAGAAAACAACAAACCTAGTCATGTTCTGGTGTGTCTCCCCATATTTAGGCCATATGTATTTCTTACCTGAAATGCAGACTTAGCTGGCCCCTATATGTTATCTGTCAATCTACCCAGGAGGAAATTGGGGAGGAAGAAAACTGATTCCACAAAGTCTGTCCAACTTCCACATGGAAAGCACTGTGGACATGGACACACACACACACACACAATTTTAAGTTATGAAAAGACATTCAGGGAAAGGGTAAGGTGTATAAACTTTTTAATTTTAAAAAAATGTACAATAAAAATACATTCTCACACACAACGCAGGGAACTAAACGCGTGAGAAGTGGCATAGAGAGGGAGGCAGAAGATGACTCAGATGTGTCCATGAGCCTCTCAGGAAGGGGACAGGCCATACCCACCAGTCCTTTTCAGGCTGCCCAGGTCACCAGGGGCCTTGCTGGCTAAGAGACGCTCTCCAAGACCCTGCTAGTGGTGTAGGTTTTAGTATGTGTGCCACATCATGTGGTCAGGGGAAACTAAGTTAGTCTGGCAGGCTCCTAGCAAGGGCCCTCCCAGCCCCACCCTGGCCTTCACAGGGCCAGCTCCGGAGCCACACTCAGCAGCAGCATCCTGGTGTTTAGAGCAGGCCAGGCCCAGGTCACTGCAAGAGAAGGCTCTGTGTCAGGCCAGCTCAGGGAGGCCTCTCTCTCCTGCCCCCAGGACCTGCCCAGAGGTGGGAATGGTTCAGTGTCAGCCTCCCTGGGGCTCAAAGCCACAGAAGATGTGCATTTTGTCCGTCTCAAAAGAGGCAGCCGGGACATAGACACAGGGCCTCCCCTCTTCTCTATAAGCAGAGCTTTGGGGCCACACCTGCTCCCCTTCCACCTCCTCTGGCTGTCAGGACCAGCTACAGTTAACAGGTACAGTCCCTGCTTGCCACCCCCCAGTGCCCAGGCCCCAGCTGGGGTAGATACTGACACTCACGTTAGTGCTAGCGTCTTCTAGGCTGCTGCTGTCGTTTTCCACACAGAGAGACTCTGCTGGGGATGCCCTGGAGAGAAGTACAGACTGAATTCACTCTGGGCTGGATGCCAGACCCACAGCTCCTCAGAACTGCCAGTGTGACAGCCAGTGTTGGGCTACCTGCCTAGCCAGCCAAGATTGCTTGAAGACACTGAACTTAGGGGCAGTGTGGAGGCCCTAGCCAAAACCTCACCACCATCTGAAAGCACATGGTCACCATCAAGGCCCTGCTTGGCCCAGCAGCCATGTACCCTCCCCAGATGTTCTGCCCCCACACCTGGACCGCCCAGCTAGTAAGGCTCTCTACCACACCACAGCTCCCCAGCTCTAGTACCAACTGGACACAGTGAGCAGTAAAGCCTTGGTAGGGCGGGTCACCCATTCTAGGACTGCCCACATGGACAGCAGGGAAACAGCCCAGAGCCATTCCTACCTTAGCCCCACCTGCATTTTTTCCAGGGTGCAGCCTTAAGATGACACAGGCCCTTTAGGAGAATGGGACACCCCTGCCCCATCCTACCACCAGCAGGTGTGGCCACCCCATCACATAAAGGCCTGGAAGTAACTGCTGCCCCCTCCCTTGCTCAGAGTGGGCCACGCAGACTTGTCTGCAGGACAGTCCTACCAGGTGGCCACCAGGCAGCAGTGGCGATGTCTGGGTCCAGGAGGCTGCTCAGTACCTGCAGTGGGGCTGTCCCCATAATGACTAGGGGAGGGGCAGGACTCAAGGAGAAGGCTGGGGGCACACTGAAAGGGGCCCGTAAGAGAACAGTGCAGGAGCAGGCTGAAGATCCAGGTGAGTCTCCACCCAAGACAGGCAAGAGGCAGCCAGCAAGAGTGTCAGAAAGCTGCAGCTCAGTTGGGACTGTCTGAAAGGGACCTGGGACCACTGGCAGAGTAGACCATGATGCGTGTCCCCTGGCCCCACAGGATGCTTTGTTGGAGTGTGTGAGTAAGAAGGTCCCTGTTCTGCTGTCGAGGGGCATGGCCCGCCTGGTAGTGGTTGACTCAGTCGCAGCCCCATTCCGCTGTGAGTTTGACATAGAGGCCTCAGCCCTCAGGGCCAGGCACCTACAGTCACTGGGGGCCACACTCCAACGGCTGAGCGGCACTTTCCAAAGCCCAGTGCTGTGCATCAACCAGGTAGGTGAGGCTAGCTGGGGCTTGCCTGTGACCTTGGGGAAAGCAGGGCTGTGGCAGAGGCTGAGCTGACCCTCACTTGGCTCTTCCAGGTGACAGAGACGGTGGAGGAGCAGGGATCTATACTCAGACCAGTGGGGTGAGTGCGGACACCTCAGCGTGTTGGACACAAGGGGTGGGTGGGGCGTTCACAAGCAGCAATGTCCGTTTTCTATCTCAGGGCCTGGGATGAACGCCTTTCACCAGCCCTTGGCATCACCTGGGCCAACCAGCTCCTGATGAGAGTGATGGCTGACCGGGTCCATGATAGCCACACCACCCTGAGCTTGGCCAGTGGCCCAGCCCGAACTCTACGGGTACTCTTTGCCCCCCACCTGCCCCCCTCTTCCTGCTGCTACACAGTCAATGAGGAAGGCATTCGAGGGGTGCCAGGAACCGCCTCCTGCAAACACGGGGGCACCAACGGATCTGCCTGACCAGGTCATAATAAACCCTTAAAGTGCTGCTGTGCCAGCATGGTGTCCTACCAGCACTTTGGCAGCTGGTGAACAGATATCCAGCTGAGGCTCAGCGTCTGCTCCCCCTTCCTGGGGTTCACCCACCCAGCCTGTCGGGCCTCAGCCATTGGTCCTACATACTGGCCCTCAGAGGAAGAGCTGACCAGGGGTTGACAGCCCTGAGGGTGACTCCCTGGAAGTCCCAGAATGACAAGGGGCCGCTGTTGCCCACCCTTGGCTTTCTACCCAGGGCCGAGTCAACAGCTTGTCTGGTAGGGCCTCCTCTCTGGCAAAATGGTCTAGGACCACCCCAGTGATACCCTCACTGGGGCCACAGTGAGGTGCCCCCTGCTCCCAACACATATCTGCCCAAAACGAGATGACCCCAGGCTCTGACTTCTGCAGATCCAGGGAAAGGAGGTGGTACTGGCTGTACCTGGCTGCCACAGGCCATGCCAACAACTTAGGGCAGGTACAAAGAGCAGCTTTGTGAGTCCTCACCAAGGCCTGTCTGTGCCCAGTCCGGCAGCTCTGGCCTGGCAGAGCGTCCCTCAGGGACACAGCAGGATGCCTTAGAGGGCCCCAGTATGCAAAGGCAGCGCCCTTAGTAACACATCACCCACAACTCCAGGATCACTACCTCATCATGGACTCCTGGCCAACAGCAGTCACCTAGGAATGTGTGCTCACAGGACAGGGCTGTGATAACCTTGAACCCACCCCTGTATCTCCAAGTGCTGCCTGATATCACGAGGAAACCAGGCCCTCACCAAAGAGCACTGCTGCTCCAAGTGGTGTGTGCCTTCCTCACACAGGATATGTACTGCCAGTGTCCCCACTTGAGGGAAGCATACGGCTTATGGTAGATGCCATGATCTTCCCAGGGTGCTGTGCCTGGCATGGACCCCAAGACTACTAGGGACCCTGTTCTATACTGTGCTCATCAGACCAAAGCCACCTCCCCCTCCCCCACCCTTGGCAATACTGAGGATGGAACCTAGGACCTTGTACATACAAGGCAGGTACTCTACCACTGGCATGAATGTGGGACAAATTGTTTAGAATTCATTCATGTAAAACAGGGTGGGAAAACACTTTTAACAGGAAATAAAACATTTTTATAACTATCAACAATTCTAAGTTGTTTACTAACTAGGTTGTATTGATAATTAGGCACACTTTGAAGACATGCTCCCAAAGGCCCACCTCCACCTGCCAGGCAAGGGGCACCTACAGGTCCTCCCCTACCAGTAGTTTACCTAGTATATCAACTAAGGTATCTTTCACCTCACCATCTTCCAGAATCAAGAACCATGAACTCCTCCCAGTGTTGGGAGCTGCTTGTCAGCGCTGGATTTGCTGAGGCCAGCTGCCCAGCTACACCACCCCTGCCAACCTGCATTGCATGAACTGCCACCTTACTGGCCCAGATCTGTGATCACAGGCATGTGCTGCTCGGGAAATGGGTGCAGCAAACACCAGACCTGTGCCCAGCATGCTTCTCAGAGCAGGTCTTTGAGGTTGTGACAAAGGATGTGTGAACTAAGCACAAATCCCTGGTTTATGTATATTACTGATTATTTAATGTATGTTACTATAAACACTGGCTCTCAGGTCAGTGAAATAGCTGAGGAAAAGGTGCTTGTCATGTAACCCTGGCAACTTTAATTCAATCTCCAGAACCCACACAAAGATGGAGAGAACCAATTCCAGTTGTCCGCTGACCTCCACATGCACAGCTGCACACACATTAAGATTAAACACTAACAGACTACATGATATTCCCAGCAGCTTTCCAGAAAACATGTTGAACCCTTCAGACACTGAACACCTAGAGCCTCCCTGACCAGGAAGCACAGGTGCCTGCTGTGCCCACCACAGGCAGAAAGTCACTGCTGTGTGTGGACACCTGCCCTGCCAGTTGGTGGGAACTCAGACCTGGGTTTGTCCAGAACTATGAGGAATAGGTATGGCTCTCACTTAGCACCCTCTCATCATGGAGAGCATTGAGAAGGGACAATGGGCTCTTGCTTTCTGAGAATGTTAAAATGCAGTGGGTCCTAGCTTGCACAGTGGAGACTTCAAGTTCCACAGAGTCTTCCTCAGCCAGGTGCTCAGCTAGACTGCCAGTCAGCTTGCTCCAGAGTCCCATCTCTGCCTCTTGCACACTGGATTACAGGAGGGCCACACACCCACCAGGCTTTTACATGGGTTGGAGATCCACAAATCCCATTCCTCGCTACCCCAGCTTAAAACGATGCTTTCTACAGACAGTCCACTTTTCAGACTAACTTGAGGCTAGAATGGAGACTCCCCACAGTCCAAAGGTTCCCTCTCAGCTAGCTTGTTCTGGCTTGGCCCTGACACGGACAGTGCTCACCTTGCCCTTTGTCTTATGTTTTCTTAGCTGAAATTTAGTCTTACACGTTGCCTCAATGCCTCAAAGTTAATCTGAGAGTCTTGTCAAAACCCACCCTGTGAGAGCTCTATGTGCTTGGCACCAGGAGGAAAGGAGATTCCAGACCACTGGCACAGTGCCCTTCACCGAAGCTGCCCGACAGCAGTGGACAGTCTACAGAGCCCTGTGGACAGAGACTCCTGCAAGCTTCCAATCTGAAAGGAAGTAGTTTGTTTCTGATTCTCAACAGCGTTATCATAATATTCAGTTTTTAAATAGATTCAGCGTCACGACAGAGTGGCTGGCAGGAGTGCAAGAACATCCACGACAGCAGCTGATCACACTCGCCAGGGCCGCCAGCTGGAGCCCGGTCTGCCTCCCTGGCCACGGCACTGCTGGATCTGGGCATCAGCAGCTCCTGTACACAGGTGCAGACCAGGCAACAGAATTCTGGGCATAGCTGCCCAGCGCTTTTTAAGTAGCGGCCTCCAGATGTTGGTGGACGTCACCATCTAGAAAGGACTCCTGCCCCCACCAGGAGGGCAAGCTGGAGGGGCTGCTGGGGCTGCAGGGTGTCAGGGCTCCGTTACTCTCAGGGATCCTATCTAGGTCTGTCTCAGCCCTCAGTGGGCTAGGTCGGTGTGGCTGGCGCTCAGTACTCTCGAGTCTGCCAGACAATTATTTCGTTCCTGTGTGAAAAAGCAAACGGGAAAACTTTTACGTAACTAGTACTTACTTCTAAGATCATCTCAAGCAACCAGCCCCAGCGCCCAAGTCTGCACATGTAAACACTGTGCAGCTGGATTTGAAAGACTGAGCTTCAGGGCTGGAGGTGCAGCCCAGTGATAGGGACAAGCCAACCAGTGAAAACCTATATGCTATTATCTGGATTCGGGCCACAGACCGCTGTAGCCTGTGATAACCAAGTCTGTTGTCACGGGACAAGCTCCATGTGGCAGCACAGACAACAACCAGCAAGCTGTAGCTTGTCCCACCTGCCAGATCTTCTCAGGACCCAACACAACAGGGTAGGGTCCAGGGTCACCAAAGGTGACGACACCCAATGGCCAATCAAGTCCGACAGAAGGGAAAACCAGAAAGGCCAAGTTTTCAATGTGAAGAGAAAACAGCCTGCTACATCTGTGTGAGACTTGCACTAAGATCTCAGTGTCCAATGACAACATGTTAATCATGCCAGAAAGGCCTTGAATGCTTAAAGCTCTGAGAGCAGCTTAACTGAGTGGGACAAATTTACTAGAGCCCACATTGGACTACTACTAGAGAACTGCTCAAACTGATACTACTATTTTCATCAGAATAAAGTAATAGAGTTAACTCTTCCTAAGCTCACTAGAACAGCCAACTGGTAATTCCTGGCCTTCACAGTGATGTGCTGTAGACATTGTACATAAGCCCGAGGCAGTGGGGGGAGGCCAAGGGGAGAGGCCAGGGGCGGTCTGTGGCAGACGTGCTCGGGGCCTGGCAGCCAGGGCACAGGTGGGGCAGACTCCTTACTTGGAAACGATCTTCTGTGGTTTTGCCACCCGCGTTAAGAAAATTCAGAGAACTGGCACGCTTCATGCTGCAACCCGGACATGGACATGCAAGGACAAACCATCAGCACGCTGTCAGCCAGCAATAGGAAACATGCTAAGCTGATCCCTTTTGCTCTCGGGGGGATGTGGGGACCATGGGACCTCAGGAGTGGCCTTTTTCTCCCATGAATGTTCCGGCTTTAAATGGATGTGGTGCCCATCTGCATTTTTAGCAGCATTTATACCTCATAATGCAGCACCCAAAAATGCCGTGGGCCCACCTTCGCAACAGGCTCAGCCGGGGTTTGAAGGCTCTGTTGCCCTTCAGTGTCTGGGGCTCCCGTGGGGCTCTCGCACCCAAGGAGATACTCCAGGCTCACTGTGAAGACCAGGTGCATAAATACATTCTGTATTTCTTCGTGAATCAACAGTAGGAAAAACAATTTAACCATTAGCAAGATAAACTGAAATTACCATTTTTCTACTTAGAAAACCAAACTTTGGAGCTGGGCATGGTGATGCACACCTATGACCCCAGCAATCATAAGGCTAGGGCATGAGGTCATGAGTTCGAGAACAGCCTGAGCTACAGAGGGAGCCCTGTCTCACAAAAACAAAAAAACAGAAAACAAAAAATTTCATGGTCTTAGCATGTAAAGAAATACAGAGTCCAGGTGTGGTGGTACACAGCTTTATTCCAGCAGAGGCAGGAGAACTCTTGAGTTCAAGGCCAGCCTGGTCAACATAGTGAGTTCCAGGCCAGCCGAAACTAAATAGTGAGATTCTGTCTCAAAAAAGAAATGGGGACTGAAGAGATGGTTCGGTGGTTAAGGGCACTGGCTGCTCTTGCAGAGGACCTGGGTTCAATTCCCAGCACCAACATAGTGGCTAACAACCGTCCATAACTCCAGTTCCAGGGGATGCGACAACTTCTGACCTCTGAGGGCACTGCACAACATGGGTACACCTACATACATGCAGGCAATATACTCATATGCATAAAATAAAATAAAAAAATAAAGCTGGGCATGGTGACACATGCCTTTAATCCAACACTTGGGAGACAGAGGCAGATGGATCTCTGAGTTGAGGCCAGCCTGGTCTACATAGCGAGTTCCAGGACAGCTGGGGCCATAGGGAGATCCTGTCTCAAAAAGACTAAAAAAATAAATAAACAAAATGAAAGAATTAAAAAAAAAAAAGGAATATGTTTTTTTCTTCCCATTGAAATCTTTAAAATCCTTAATGAAATCTATAAATAACATAAAACTGAATCACAAACTCTTTTTTTTTTGTCTGAGACAAGGTTTCCCTGGATTTGCTATGGAGACCAGGCTGACCTCGAACTCAAGAGATCCACCTGCCTCTGCCTCCCAAGTGCTGGTAATTCATTAAAGGCATCCACCACCACCACCCCCGGCTAAATCACAGACTCCCCCCCACAGTCCACATGAAGCCCCTTAGCTTGTTTGTTTTCATTGAGACATGGTCTCATGAAGCCTAGATTGGCCTCACTCCTCGCTATGTAGTCAGATGATCTTGAATTCTTGATCCACCTGCCTCTACCTCCCAAGTCTCTGGGATTCTAGAACTTGCCACCATGTCTGGCTTCAAATCCTTGGCTTTTAAAGTTGAGACAGCCCAAGCCAAGGGTAAATGATGTGCTCATGGTAGGATCTGTGGTTATGCTAACTGCACATGTATATGGTGGGCACTGGTATGTAACGGAGGCCAGGGGCAGACACTTAAGATTGGGCACAGCCACACACAGGCTCACAGGACCCTTGGGGATGGGGATGAAGGCCAGAGCCCTGCCCGTGTGTCACCAAAGCTGTAGGCACAGAGCCAGGAAATGGCTGGCTGTGTCTCCTTGAATCTATTATACCAAAAGCAACAGGACAAAACAAAACTATTCCAGCAAAGCCCAATCAAATGCTGCTTGCGTTCTAAACAAGCTTCCCTCTGTCTTGGACTACTCAAACCACAAGTAAATTAAAATGATGCATCCAATTGTTCTTAGTAGTGGAGCAGCCAGCTAGCTTTCCTAAGGAGGCTACACAAGCTTGTCTCTCAACCTTGTTGCTGATACGACAGCAGCAACACGGCCCCCACAGTGACCCTGCCTTTGACCCATGGCACAGTAGGGTGTGTCGGCCTCAGTGCAAGAGGATCAGGGAGCTACACAAGTCCTGCACTTAGTGCACCGAGTCAGCGGTTCCATGGGACTGGCAGGCCCAGCTCTACCCGGGCATATGCTACAGATAGATCCTGGGGTCCTCCTAGAAGCCAACAGACCAAACATGGGTTAGGCAAGCAATCTGAAAACCATCAAGATCCACTGGTCCAGCAGAAAGAAACCCAGTTTTATGTGTTATATGGGATATAACCCCAGAGTCTCTAAGACTAAGGAAAATGTAGTGAGGAAAATCCAAAGCCCTCCCACTTAAGAACAGTCCAGCCGCAGGGCTGATCCAGAACTGGACTTTGCAGAGAGCTTTAAGGTGTCCCAGAGCCTCAAGTAACCATGCTGCCTCTCCAAGGAATGCATAGAACATCCATTCAACTGTCGGCCTAGGCGAGGTCTAGTGACGCAGACCTGTAATCCCAGCTGTTCAGGAGGCTGAGGCAGGAGGTTCAAATTCAAGGCTTGCCTGGCCAAGAGTGAGTTCAAGGCAGTCAGGACAACTTAGTCCCTGCCTCAAAATAAAAATAAGTCAGGTATGGGGTTGATGCCAGGGAGAGAGGGCTCGGTAGTTAAAGAGCACTGGCTGCTCTTCCAGAGGACATGGGTTCAATTCCCATAGTGGCTAACAAGGTCTTTAACTCCAGTTCCAGGGTATCCTGTGCCCTCTTCTGACCTCCTGGGCACTGAAAGACACAGGTGCACTTACATACATGCAGGGAAAACACTCATACACATAAAGTAAAAATAAGATTCTTTAAAAACTTTTAAAAAATAAGCTAGACATGATGGTGCACACCCTTAATCCCAGCACTCAGGAGACAAAGGCAGCCAGATCTCTGTAAGTTCCAGGCCAGCAGGGGTACAGGGAGATCCTGTCTCAAACACACAACGAAAAATAAAAGAAAGAGACTGGATACTGCAACAGTAGAACGCGTGCCTAGCATACGTAAGGCCCTGAATTCAGTCCCCACCACAGAAAAATAAAACAGGTCAGCCCAAGGAAGGGAAGCACAGCAGCTAGGGAGCGGCCCCTCTCCACGCTGAGAAAGACAATGTTCGTTCTCTCAAGATTCATTCGGCAGAGGCTGCCTCAGACTCGAGATCTGTAGGCCTGATACAACCAGAGCTCCTCACCCTAGAGGCAGCAGCATCTGGCCAGTATGGGCAGCTTGCCCCAGACTTCCAGGCAGTGTTCGGACAGTGATAGGCTCCTGCTCAGCTGAGGCCCCAGCAGGGAATGGGGTGTCCTCAGACCCTGAGGACAATGGCAGTGCACCCTTTCTTTTATCTTTTTTGGTCTTTTGTCCTTGTAGCCCCAGCTGGCCTAGAACTCACTTTATAGACCAGGCTGGCCTTGAACTCACAGAGATCCACCTGCCTCTGCCTCCCTCCCAAGTGCTGGGATCAAAGATGTGTGCAACCACACCTGGTCAACAGTGGACACTTTCAAAGGCAAAAAAAAAAAAACAGAACGATTTGAAAAGCACAGGGCTTTAATGTTTCCAACATAGTCTCCAAAGGCGTCTGCAAGTTCACAATGCAGACCCAATTACAACTGGACCCACAGAACATCTGAAGTGTAACAGCTTTTAAAAGAGCATTTTCCTAAGAACTTCTAATGAGCAGGAACTATCCAGGAAGTCTGGGATACAGGGAGTAAACGACAGGCAGAACGCCCCAAACGCAGGACATGTCATGACAAAGGAGGTAGGGGTGACACAGCAGCAGAGGACGAAGAGCCCTACTGTGACCACCGTGTGGAAAACCCCTTTATAACATGGACACGTGCTCCCAAGGCCTAGATTTTTCTTTAAACACACAGGAACCCCCTTAACAAATCACAAAATAAAAAACCTCATTAAAAACCATTCCTCTCCCCCACAATCCCTTCATGACAGTTAATGTAATCACAGCTACTATCTTATCTGAAAGGCTGGGGGGGGTTTGGGTTTTTATGTTTGTGTCTTTTTGAGTCAGGGTCTCCCTTAGCCCCAGCTGTCCTAGAACTCACTATGTAGACCAGACTGGCCTTGAACTCAGTGATCCACCTGCCTCTGCCTCCCGAGTACTGGGACTAAAGGCATGCGTCACCACGCCCGGATGAAAGGCTGGATTTAAAGGGGTCAAATACTGCTGTTAGCCCAGAAGGAAATAACACCTCTCCAGACTATTTGGACTGCTATGGGTTTTGTTTTGTTTTGAGGGTTATGTGTGTAGGCCAGTGTATGTGTTGCATGTTGAGTGTGCTGTGTGTTGTGTGTATATGTCTGTGTATGTGCATTGTGTGTATATGTGTGGTGTGTGTACACGTGGTATAGTGATGTATGTGTGTGTGTTCCTGTGGTGGTGGGATGGTGGTGGTGGTGGTGTGTGTGTGTAGGCCGGGTGTCAGCTTTAGGTGTCTACGAAGCCTGGGCTAGCTGTTTTGGTTATGCTGGTTGACCAGCAAGTCCCCCCGCCCATCCAATTGTCTCTACTTCCCTGGCTGGTTACAGATAAGCCACCCTGCCCCCCTTTACATGGGTGCTGGAGTCCAAACTCGGGTCTTTATGCTTGAGCAGCAAAGACTCTACACAGTGAGCTATTTCCCCAGCCCAGTTTTCTTTTTAATTATGTTTATGTGGGTCCATGCACATAAGTGCATATCATGGCATACATGGAGATCAGAGGACTTGTGGGAGCTGGCTCTCTACTTCTACCACCAAACTCCAGTTATTAGGCCTGGTATAAGCACCTTTATCCACAGAGCCATCCCACTACCCCCACAGTGTTTTATGAGACAGGGTCTCACACTGCACTGGCCTTTCAAATGCCACCACACCTAGCTCAGTGCTATAAGAGTAAATCCCCACCTGTCACTGAGAAGGCCTTCTCTGAACAAAATCCAAGGAGTCCATCAATGTCCTCTAAGCATCAACCCTGTCAGCCACTCCCAGGCAGCTTCCCAGCTGCCTCTCAATCTGCCCTGGAAAGTATCATGCAGAATTCTTGAACCCTCTGGGACTCACTCTAGGCCCCGGGAAGGTCCCTGAGGCTGTGGGAAGAGGGCGGGCTGGGGAGATAGTTACCCAGGGTTCCTTGGCTCACTGTCCCGTGAACTTCCTCCCTTCAGCTTCCTAACCAGCTTCTCACTGCTGCGTCTAATGGAAGCCCGGAGTTTGCTAAAGGAACCACTGCGTTTTAAAGATCCAGTGCCATCCTGAAAAACACGTGAACAAGTGTGAAGCTGCAGGCGCCCCTCCTATCCAGACTCAGCCAGTCAAACAAGAACTCCAGCCCAACATCCCACCTCACCAGGGACTCACTAGTAATTAAATCCTACAGAAACCACCGGCCTGCCATGTACATAGATACACTGAGGACGACCCAGTGACCATGAAGATCACGAACTCCCTTGAACATGAAGTTCAGAGAGAAGCAATCACTCCCAAAGGGGAGGTAACAGAGGTGACAGCACGCAGTGAGAGAGAACGAGGGCAGCTCCCAGGAAGGCAGCCATGATGGGCTTCCACACGGAGTAAGCGCGTGTGCACCCAACAGGATGCGGCAGACCTCAGGCCTCACCCAGGCATGTCTTCCTGACAATTCCATCTAAGGCAGCGCTTAGATGTATTCAGTAGATTGTATAGAACGTGTTCATTAAATTTCAAATCTAAATGTAGTTGGAAATTCTCACATAAGATGCTCGTTTTTTCTACAAATCCCAAGATACCTGGAAGAAGTTAAGAAAGAGCAGCCAGCCACCCATAACCAATTCAGACAGTCACAAAGCATCTGGCAGAATCTGGACATGGAAACCAGACGCAGTGTGCAACAGCGCTTGTTCTCAGAGCAGCCCCCAGCAGAACCCCAGGAATCCACTGCTGCTGAAGGCCACACAGTGCTGAGTTCCACGGAAGAGCAAGCAGTGTATGGAGCAGACAGACGCAAGACACAGGTCAGTTGGAGTGAGTTTATTAGAAGTTAGAAAGACACAAATACACACATCACAGAGCGCTTAAAGATTAGCAGAGAAAAGCAGAATCGCCAAAATTCCACACCAAGACGACACAGCAAGTCTACTTCAGCATGTCCTGGGGAGCCTGGGTATAGGCCCTCGGGCCAGGTCTCTAAGTACAATGGGGACATGCAGCACATGCCTTACTCCTACAGGTCGGCGACTGTCCACAGGTGACTGTCATGCCATTGTAATAAACCTGTGTGACACTAACTACCTGGTATCAGAGTGAGTAGCTAATCCTCTTGATTGTTAAACTTGTGTTTACACAGTACATGGGTTTTATTAACACAGCTGATATTACTAAGTACATATCTGGCAAAGCTACATGGATCCAGAAATCAAGAACCCCAAAAAGGACAGCAGCACCAAAAGGAAGGGCCAGTCCCAGAGGTACGGCTGACAAGCTCCTAGGGGCTGCTAGACACAGCGGGCAGCACTGGAAGGGGCCGGAGGAGGCGCCGCCTGTCATGCAGGAGCAGTGCAGGAGGCACCGGCGGCTAGGCCTGTCAGACAGAAAGAGAGAACCACGTGAGGCCCTGGGAGCACCGGGCAGCAGGCCCTGCCCTTCGAGCCTGCTCTACAGTATTTCTAGGTCACAGATGGGGCGGCTCCAGTCCTAGCCACTCCTGGTTTCACCAGGCTACACAGCAGATGCTGGGCCCAGGGGGTATCAAGGAATCTAGCCTGGCTTTCAGGTAATAATAGTCGTCAGAGTGCATGTCAACATTGTTTGAGCATGGACTAGCATCGTTAGAGATCACCTTGATACTTACTGTGGAAGGTTACACAAGTGACTACACAAGGAGATCTGGCGATGTGGGGCCAAAGCACAGACCACATGTGGAAGACACATTCATTCCAGCATCTCCTGTCCTGGTAGTTCTCCTGAAAAGTTCTCCCCGAAGTGGGATACGACTTCCATTCAAACTTCGTTTTTTGGTCTTTTTGAGACAGGATCTCCCTATAGCTCCAGCTGATCTAGAACTCGCTATGTAGACCAGGCTGGTCTTGAACTCACAGAGATCATCCACCGGCCTCTGTCTCCCGAGTGCAGGGATTAAAGGCATGCGTCACCACGCCCAGCGACTTTCATTCTCTTAAAAACATCTATATCCTAGACATTTCAAAAACATTAAGACCCAGTGACTTTAAAGTCACATTTGAAACATGCAGTTGACAATCCCAATAAAATTAATTTCCACAGGTAGCAATGCCTCTTGGGTCCTGCACAAGTGGCAGCCGAAATCTCAAAAGGAACAGACAGCCGGGCCTGTCCCCGCCCGCTCAGACTCACCATGGGACGCTGAGCAAGTCATTTAACCAGCCCGAGCTTCATCTTTCTCATCTTTAAAATGGAAAAATAAAACTTGTTACCAATGCCTTACGAATGCTGGGAGACAAGAAAACATCAGTTCCCGCTGCTCCTAATTCACTGCTCCTAATTCGGGGATCCGCTGATGCTCATGTAGGACACTGATCCCGCACAGCAAGCGCTCCCTCACGGTGAAATCCTGCTGCCCACATGGTCCTGTGCCCCCACTGCAGTACGCTCACCTCCCTCCCTGGTTCCAACAGAGCTCACAGTGAGTGGCCTTTCTCTCTCAGTTACTGGGGTGGCAAGTCACATGGACATCAGAGCCAAGAAGCTGTGGCTTGGTCCAGGCAGCTGCCGCCTCCTAGGAGCCTGGGGAACCCGAGTGAGCAGCTGGTTCTCAGGGCTCTTGTCCACCCGGAGGTAGCAGACATGTCTGCTCCTCAGGCTCAGTTTCCCCTTCCCACACTTGCCACCTAAGTACCTGAACCCCAGAGTCTGCAGCAGATAGTAGTGCCTAGAACTCTGACACAGAAAGCCACCAGCAGAGCTCGGGCTGCGGGGCTTCCACACACTGGCTCTCCGTTACTGCCACAAGACGGGTTTCTTTTATTAAGCTGCACTTATTACTAATTTGTGCGTTGTGTGAGCACATGCACACACATGTACATGTCAGAGCACACATGTGGAGTTCAGAGGACAACTTGTGGAGTCAGGTCTCTCTTTCCACCATGTGGGTCCTGGGGATTGAACTCAGATAGCCAGGCTTGGTGGCAAGTGCCTTGATCTTGCTCACAAGACCACAAAGTGGGTTTCTGAATAGAAATGAATCACATAAAGTACTTGTTTTAAAATGTATTACCTGTGTACAACAGGACTGCACATGTGGCATCTTTTAAAGTTCTAGAATGTTCTGTCAGTATGATTTTTCATAAATAACTATTTCTAGTTCATGGCTATCTCACACCCTAATATTCTTGAATGAGAACTCAGTGAATGGCGAACTGATACTTAGGAAGGTCAGGCGCTGTGAATCCCAGCACTCAGGAGGCTGAGGCAGGAGGGTTCCAAGTTCTAGGACAACTTAATCTGTATATTGTGATTCTGACTCAAAATAAATAGGGCTGGAGGTGTAGTCAAGTGGCAGTGCACTTGGCCTAACAGGCATGAGGTCCTGAGTTCAATGTCTAGCATGAGCACACATGTGCGCACACACAAACACATGAGAGAGAGAGAGAGAGAGAGAGAGAGAGAGAGAGAGAGGGAGGGAGGAGATGGATGTGCACACTCAGGAATGCTCCCACAGGCTGGTGGCGAAGGTGCTAGGCACCCCCCCTGCAGATGGAGCAGTGCCACTTCCTTCACACGTGTCCTCAAGCTAAGTGTGGGACTCTGAGCTGTTGGCAATTTAAGTGTCACAGGACTGACATAAATACAGACCTAGAAATACTGTCTCAAGAGAGGGTTCCTTGGGAACTTCATTCAAAGTATTAAAATCTGCAAGCAGGCCACTGGCGACCAAGCAGGACCTCTGGATGAAAGCATGCAGGAATTGGAGCGACCAAGAAGAGTACAGTACACAGCTCTGACAGGACAGGCATGGGCAGGAATCCCCAGACCCACTGCAGTTTGGGACCACTAGCCAACTGGGCTCAAATGGTCAAAGCGGATGCTGATTGGCTGTCTTGGCGGAGACAAATCCAAAGAAAGCAAGCTGTCTCAGACACCGAAACGTTGAAACACCCCCTGAAATTTGGTTACTGACAGTTTTCACACATTTTGGTCAGGATGCTAGCTCCTCCCAAACTGCTACGGCTATAGCAAATTCTAAAGACTAGATCAACTCAAGGAGTAGGGCAGATTAAGGAAGCCCCCAACTGCTGTCTGACAAAGCCACACAGTGACAGCTAACCACACCACTACTGTGACAGCAGAATGGCAGAGATCACCTGGCGGGCTCGACTCTGCCTTCCCTAATGGAAATACAGGTCCAAACGCCGGATTCCCATACAAATCCTCACCCACATTACAGAAACCACTTCAGGCCACGTACCCTCTACAACCCAGTGTGGCTAGCGGTGGTGAGGATGCCCCAGAGCAAGCTGGGGAGCAGGCAGCCCACAGTCTCTTAGGAGTCTGCTTGTTTAATACATGAGCAGGTGGCTCTGATCCCTCAAGTGGTGATGTGAAGCTTAAGACTGCCATAGGAGAGGGCCAGGGCGGCCACCTCGACCTCCTACTGCTGTTCTTTCTAAAGCGGAGTCCGGTTAAACAGCATCTTCCTTCCAGGGACTCTAACAGTCCTAGGGCAGCCTCCTCAGTGGAGTCAGGAACACTAAGTTAGCAGTGAAACGGCTAAGTTAGGGAAGTTAGTTGTCAGCCACACCCATCCCTCGAGTTATGGGAAACCAGAGCGTGGCCAAGGTTTTGCACTGCCAAGACGCTCAGTCAGCATGCACGTGCTCAGCAAGAGGGAGATTCTGAGGAGAACATGGCAAGGGATATGGCTTCAGTATTAGAAGTTAGAACTTACAGAAAGCTTCCCTGATGCTTAATTTGAGAAAAGTGGAAGTTCAAGCACAAGACAGAAGTGCCCCGAACACTGCTGGGCAGGCGGGCGGCTCCCAGGGCGGCCAGCTGTGTGCTGTACTTACCCCATTCCATTCTACGCTCATACTCACTTCCTCCCCTCCGTCAGGACCGCTCTCGTACTTGACCACGTCCACATTGAGGCTCTCACGGCTCCTCCGCCTCTCCATGTTCTCGGGGTCATTCAGCACTTCGACCACTCTCTGTTTGTGAACAGTGTCAAGGCCCTGTGAGCCAGGCAGGGGGAGAGCGTTTGACCCGTCAGCACTCACATCTCAGACCTCAGACCCCTGAGCTTCACCAAGGACAAAGCAAATTCTTTGTGGCTGTTTTTTGGTTTTGAGAACAGGGTCTCCCTGTAGCCCCAGCTGGCCTGGAACCCGACATAGAGAACAGACTGGCCTCAATCTCAGAGATTCACCTGCCTCTGCCTCCAGGGTGCTAAGATTAAAGGTGTGCACACCACATCTTTTCTTTTTTTTTTTGGTCTTTTTGAGTCAGGGTCTCTCTGTAGCCCCAGCTGGTCTGGAGCTCACTTTGTAAACCAAGCTGACCTCAGACTCACAAAGATCTGCCTACTTCTGCCTCCCAAGTGCTGGGATCAAAGGTGTGCACCACCAACACCTGGCCCACTTTCTTTTTCATATTTTATTTATTTTAGGTGTATGAGTGTATTGTATGTGAGTGCACCCATGTCGTGCAATGCCTTGGAAGTCGGAAGAGGGCTTCGGATTCCCCTAGAACTGGAGTTAAGGACAGTTCATAGCCACCATGTGGGTGCCCTTGAATCGAACCCAGGTCCTCTGTAAGAGCAGCCAGTGCTCCTAACCGCTGAGCCATCTCTCCAGCCCTCTCATATCTTTTTTAAAAATATTTATTTTTAGGCCATGCGTGGTGGCGCATGCCTGTAGTCCCAGCACTCAGGAGGCAGAGGCATCTCTGTGAGTTCGAGGCCAGCCTGGTCTACATAGTGAGTTCCAGGAAAGCTGGGGCTACAAGGAGACCCTGTCTCAAAAGACAAAAAAATTTATTTTTATTTTATGTGTAAGAATGTATTGCCTACATGTGTGTAAGTGCACCTGTATCATGTAATGCCTGTGGAAGACAGAAGAAGGCATCAAATTCCTCCAGAACTGGAGTTACTGACAGTTCGTAGCTACCATGTGGGTGCTGGGAATCGAACCTGGGTCCTCTGCAAGAGCAGTCAGTGCTATTAACCGCTGAGCCATCTCCAGCCCCAAACTTTTAGTATTTTTTTATTGTTTTTATTTTTTTATGAATACATTGCCTGCATGTATGTGAGTGCACCCATGTTGTACAATGCCATGGAAGTCAGAAGAGGGCTTTGGAGTCCCCTGGAACTGGAGTTAAGGACAGTTCGCAGCTGTCATGTGGGTGCTGGGAATCAAACCCGGGTCCTCTCCAAGAGCAGTCAGTGTTCTTAACCACTGAGCCATCTCTCCAGCCCCATCCCTCTCATATCTTTATTTGTATAAAACATTCAAAGGGCCAAGTATGGTAGCACACACCTACAATTCCGGCACTCAGGAGGCTGAGGCAGGACTGTGAGATCAAGGTCAGTCAGGGCTACATAGCCAAGACCCTGTCTCAAAAACAGACAGACGATAGATAGATAGATAGATAGATAGATAGATAGATAGATAGATAGATAGATAGATAGATAGATAGATAGATGATAGATAGATTACATAGATTACATAGATTAGATAGATTAGATGATAGATGATAGATAGATGATAGAGAGAGAGAGTTAGATAGATAGATAGATAGATAGATAGATAGATAGATAGATAGATAGATAGATAGATAGATAGATAGATAGATAGATAGATAGATAGATAGATAGATAGATAGATAGATAGATAGATAGATAGATAGATAGATAGATAGATAGATAGATAGATAGATAGATAGATAGATAGATAGATAGATAGATAGATAGATAGATAGATAGATAGATAGATAGATAGATAGATAGATAGATAGATAGACAGACAGACAGACAGACAATCTAAGTCTTTTTTCCTGTAAGTGCCAGGGATCAAACCCAGAGTCTTGTGCATGTGACAAGTTTTCCCTGCTGAGTCCAAGCCCCCAAAAGTCTATTTCCAAATCAATCTTTCAGTAAGTCATATAAAATACCATGGTCCAGTCTAACAGACAAGTTAAACAGAAGTGTCAGGCGCACCTGCTTACGTGACCTCATGGCAGCTTCTTCCAATGTTTCTGCAGCTTCAAACTTCCCCTGACGTCGGTAAAGTGCTCCCAGGTTTTTCAAAGTGGTTGTGACAGTTGGACTGCAAGAACATACACAACACTTGGAACCATTAGTGAGCTCACAGGGCAGAAAGTGTGGAAACTGTCCACACTGGGTGTGTGGGTATGGAAACGGCCGACGGTGGGTGTGTGGGTACGGAAACTGCCCACGGTGGGTGTGGAAACTGTCCACACTGAGTGTGTGGGTATGGAAACGGCCGATGGTGGGTGTGTGGGTACGGAAACTGCCCACGGTGGGTGTGGAAACTGTCCACACTGAGTGTGTGGGTATGGAAACGGCCGACGGTGGGTGTGTGGGTACGGAAACTGCCCACGGTGGGTGTGGAAACTGTCCGCGGTGAGTGCGTAAACTGTCCACCATGAGTGTGGAAACATCCACTGTGAGTGTAGAAGCTGCCCATGGTCTCTCGGCTGGACTTCGCTCTGCCTCCCGCCGCCACCCACTGCATGGCTGATGGGCTCACAGCCAGGCAGTGGTTTGGGCCAAGTTTGCTCTGATACAGGACACTGACAACAGTGCTCCTTCAACTACAGCATTCTAAAGAACATTTTCCACTCAAGCAGCCCTGATGCCCAGTGTCAGTCAGCCCTTACTGCTCCCTACACAAGCCCCACAGCCTCCACCCAGCCTGCTCACTCAGCATCCTGGCTACGACACAGAAGCATGTGGCCACCCTAGCCAGGGGTCTGCATGCTCCCTGTAGGCAGAGCAGGTTCTGTGCTGCTCATACCTCTCGTCTCTCACCAGAGTAAGCCAGAGCCCCGTGACCTGGTGTCAGTGGACGACAGAGACTTATAAAAGACTCAAGAGACTAGAGAAAGAGTGGGAGTGTGGCTGCATTACTGACAAAGAGAAGACTTGCTAAAAAGTTGGAAATAATGGGGCTGAGGAGAGTTCAACAAGAGTTCCTGCATTAGCCTGAGGCCCTGAGTTCAGATCTCCAGCACCCACATAAAAGCCAGGTGTGGTGGTGTGTACCTGTAACCTAAACACTAGAAGTCTAGAGATGGCTGATCCCAAGGGCTTGCTGGCCAGCCAGTCAGCCAAAGGACCATGTTCCAGGAGGTTCGGTGAGAGATCCTGTCTCAAAAAATAAGTTGGAGAGTACACAGAAAGATGCCACAAGTCAATGTCACTCTGGCCTCCAGACACACAAGCATAAACCCACACAAAGTCAGAAACAGCTGGGTGTGGTGGTGTACCTGTGCAATCTTAGCACTCAAGAGGGCCGAGGCAGAAAGATCAAGAGTTCAAGGCCAGCCTGGGTTATATATCAAGGCCTCATCTCAAAAAAAGAAAGAAACCTACTCATTTTAGTACAGATCTATATTCCGAGAGGTGTTTTTTTACTCTAATTAATGAGATATCCCCAAGTGCAGAGATGAAGAAGGTACCCTACACAATCCTTAGACAAGTGCCCAACGGTGAGAGAAAGGAAAGGTGAACGCAGAACTCAGGAGGCAGAGGCAGGTGGATCTCTGTGAGTTCGAGGCCAGCTGAGGCTACAGGTCTCAGAAAGACTAAAAGAAAAAAAAGAAAAAGTGAACGCCACGCATTACAATTATTGCAACAGGAACCTAGGGGAAGGAATTTATGCCAAACTCGGGCCTAACAAACTCTCTTGTAATAGATGAGTAGGGAGCTGAGCCTTCAAGGAGGAAGCCAGGATGGGAAAGGCAAAGCAGGTAAGCACAGTGTGCTGCTTTGACTGGGAGCGGCAGGCACCGGGTACATGGAGCACAGGCTCAGGATGGCACCAGGACAGGCCACAGTGGACCTCACGCTCAGCCCTAGAGCAGTGGGGGTGGGAGGAGGGACACTCCCCCATATGGGTGGGGAAGGCTTGCCAAGGGCTGGCTTTCAAGGTCCACAATGTATGCTACACACCTGCCTAAAGGAATTTTTCCTCAGTACCTCCTCTTCCTTCGGTTAGACAGAGCCCATTCTACTGTCTGTATGCGAAGGACCTCACGCACAAAAATGGTTGGGGTTTTTTTTTGCGGGGGAGGTCCTTTTTGAGACAGGGCCTCCCTGTGGCCCTAAATGGCCTGGTACTCACTACAAGGACCAGGCTGGCCTCGAACTCCCATGCGCTGGGATTAAAGGTGTGTGCCACCACACCCAGCTTTGGTTTTCATTTTTGAGACAGGGTCTCACAATGTAGCCAGGCTGTCCTGGAACTGCATATACAAATCAGGTTGTCCTTGAACTCACAAAGCTGGGCTGGCCTCAGCCTCACAAGTGTTGGGAAGACATGCCCAGTACACCTAGCTTTTTTTTTTTTTTTTTTTTTTTTTTTCTTTTTTTTTTTTTTTACTTACTCTTATTATTGTGTGTGTTTGTGTGTGTGCACACTTGCATGCCACAGCACACATGTGGAGGTCAGAGGACAAATTGGGGGAGTCAGCTCTCTTCTTCCACCGAGACGTGAGTTCCCAGGACTGAACTCAAGAGCAGGCTTGTGCAGCAAGCACTTCTGAGCCGTCTCTCCTGCTGGGGGTCAGGTCTTTAGCTGAATCTGGGAAAACTATGATATCACGTGACTAAAACACTAAGGATTCCCACACACGGCGCAGTCCTGTCTCCTTTCCCACTTTCAGTTTTGTGCACATGGCAGACTAACCTGTCAACTTTGCAGGCCTTGTACCAGCCGCCATACTCTCCAAATGACGTCCCGTCCTTCTGCTTTCCCTAAATTGTAGCAGAGAATTCCAAGTGAATGAGGGCCAAACAGGGCAATCCACTCAGCAGACCCCCGCAAAGCGGCCCAGCCTTACCTTGCACTCTTCTCTCTCTTCAGCATGCATCCAAATTGGCTTGTTCTCATCTGGGAAGAAAAAAAAACACCTTTTAAGTTGAAGAGTAGGAAATCCACTGAGGGGCCGGAGAGACAGCTCAGCAGCAAGAGCACGTCTTGCTCTTCCAGGGTCAGTTCCCAGCGCCCATGCCGAAGCTAACACCCATCCTTAACTCCAATTCCAGAGGATCCCAAGTCCTCTTCTGGCCTCATAGGTGTCAGGCAGCACATGGTACACTTTACACACATGCAGGCAAAACACTAAGACACATAAAAGTAATAAAATCTTTAATTAAAAAACAGAAACCTAGGCCAGGCATGGTGGTGCACATCTTTAATCCCAGCACTTGGGAGGCAGAGGCAGGTTCTCTGACTTCTCTGTGAGTTCAAGGCCAGCCTGGTCCACATAGTGAGTTCCAGGACAGCTGGGGCTCCAGGGAGACCCTGTCTCAAAAAGGCCAAAAAAGAAAAAAAACCAGAAAGCTGCTGAGTAGAAGCTACTGGGTGTTGGTGATCACACAGGGCTTCCACCATGTTCGGTGTTGTTTGAAACAGGGTCTCCCTGTAGCCCCAGCTGGCCTTTAACTCACAGAAATCAGCCTGCCCCTGCCTCCCCAGTGCTGGGATTAAAGGCGTGCACCACCACACCCAGACCTTCATTTGTTTTTTGTGGGATCCTTTGCAGGGATTACCTTTTTTCCCATTTTTTTATGTGTAGATATATGATGTATATGTGTGTGTGATGTGCGTTATGTGTAATTTTGCCTGTGTGTGGGGACGTGTGTAGTATGTGCGCACGAGTGTACATACATGGGAGATCTGATGTTAATGCTAGGAATCATTCTTGATCACTCTACTTCATAAAATGAGACAGTCTGTCTCTCAGTTAAACCCAGATCTGAACTCTGGTCTTCACAACTGTGTGGAAGTGCTTAAGCACCTGGCCACCTCCCCAGCCCAGGAATTACTTTTTACAACCTGGACAGGTCAAATTCACCCTGGAGGAAAAGTCCATGGAGGACATCAGAAGGAAATAGTCCTTCATGTCTGTCATACAATCTAGCCTGACAGGAGCAGACCCCAGACGCAGCTTTTCTCACATAATTCTTGAGGTGTCTGGACTGTGTGCAACCCAGCACTAAAGAGTCCAACAAAAGTTAACAGGGTCGGGGCTGGAGAGATTGGCTCAGCGGTTAAGAGCACTGACTGATCTTGCAGAGGACCTGGGTTCGATTCCCAGCACCCACATGGCAGCTACAAACTGTCCTTAACTCCAGTTCCAGGGAAATCGGAAGCCCTCTCTGACCTCCTTGGCACTGTACAACTGCAATACACTCATACACATAAAATAAAAATAATAAATAAAATATTTTTTTAAATTGCTTTAAAAAAAAAAAAGTTAAGAGGGTCAAGGTGCAAACCCAGGGGAAAAAAACAATTAATGAGTTTGTGGTTTTGGGGGAGGGTCCCACTGTACAGACAAGGCTAACTTTAAGCTCACAATCTTCCTGCTTCTACCTCTGAATCCTGGGATTACAGGCATCCTGGGATTATAGGCATATACTACCACGCCTGCCTCTCAGTATTTCTAAATCTTAACTTTGCAGACCATTAATACATCCCACTGAACAACGAAGAGATCCATGCTACAAAGTAAAAAAATCTTAAAAATGATGTTTACGGCCGATGCAATGGTGCACGACTTTAATCTCAGCTCTCAGGAAGCAGAGGCAAGTGGATCTCTGTGAGTTCAAGGTCAGCCTGGACTACACAGAGTTCCAGGCCAGTTGGGGCTACATTGTGAGAGCTTATCTCAAAGAACAACAAAAATCACAAAAACAAACAAAAAGGGGTTTATGAAAAGTATTTCTATGCCTAAGTAAAAAATTAATCTCTGTCCTATGTCTGAACACTGCATTGGAGGGTAAATCCAAGGAAACAAAGCAGAACTCAACCTGCAGATCACAATGGTCCAAGAATAAATAGTGTGTGAGTGTACATATGTTCATGTGGAGGCCAGGTCACACCAGTGTCTTCCTGAGACAGTCTCTCACTGAACCTGGAGTTCAGTAATCCACAGCTGCATCCTGTCTTCACATTTCTGGCACTGGGGTTCAGGCACACCCTGTCACACCTGGCTTTTTAAAGTGGGTTTTGAGGCTCAGACCTGGGTCCTCGTTTTCGTACAGGCCGTACTGCCAGTCCAAGAGAATTTCTGCAAAGAAGCATTAAGAAATGTCCTGGTAAAGCCTCTCAAGCTGGGAAAGGCTAGAAGTTCTGCAACTGCACACGGACACAGCTAAGCAGAGCCCAGGTCCGCCACGCTCCAGGCGAGTTACTGCTGTGCTCACAGAAACAAACCATTTTGAAAGTGGTTTTCAAACTGGTTTCTGGGAACTCTGGGAGAAAACAAGCCCTTGCGGCATGTGGTGTCGTCAGGTGTGCGCCTTTACTCCAAGCACTGGGAAAGGAGAGGCATGCAGATCTCTGTGAAAACCAGCCTGGTCTACAGAATGAGACTCTGTCTATTAAAACAAAATGAATAAGGACTGGAGAAATGGCTCAGCGGTTAAGAGCACTGACTGCTCTTGCAGAGGACCCGGGTTCAATTCCCAGCACCCACATGGCGGCAACAAACCATCCTTAACTCCAGTTCCAGGAGAATCCAAAGCCCTCTTCTGAAGCCCTCTTCTGACCTCTGCCGCATTGTACAACATGGTTACACTCATACATGCAGGCAATACACTCATACACATAAAATAAAAATAAAAATAAATATTTTTTTTTAAAAATGAATAAGCAAATGCCTCAATGAACACTCCGTGGGCTTTCTTGCACACTAATCATCTTCTGTGTGTTTTATGTAATACTTGATGAAGGAAAAAATTTAACTCCAAAATGTTTTTTATTAAGCAATTCAAATTCTGTAAGATACATCTTCCGCTCCATGCCCTTCTCATGGCCCAGCTGGAGGTGAAGGAGACTAGGCAGGACACACCAGGCCTCCTGAGGCACAAATGCACCCACAACCCAACACTGTGACCTCACCTGTGCATTAACCAGTTGTAATAGCCGAAGGGAAGTAAGGTAGATAGGGTTTTGTCTCCTTCAAACATCCCAGCAAGTCCAGGGCATGGTGGAACATTTGCATTTACAACAGGTTTCCGGGGTGTGGGGTGCAGAGCTGTGGAGTTTGGCCACATGTGGATGACAGAGCTGCCTCTGGCAGGATGAGGAGGCTCTGGAGGTGGCAGGCTCAGGTCACGTCTGAAGCAAGCATGGCCTTTCAAGACAGGTGGGGGGCAATGATTTGCAGCAGGTGGCCTCACTAATGTCCCCTGAGCAATGAGTGACTCAGCCTGTGCTATGTCCTCTTCCAAACACCATTTAGACAACTAAACTTCAAGGCCAGAGCTGGCTCAGCCAGTTAAAAGCACCTGCCACGCAAGCTTGATGACCTGAGTTCCATCCCGAGAACCCACAGAAAAAAAGCCAGATTTGGTGGCTTGAATCTCTGACCTCACTCCTATGGCAAGACGGAAAGTAGACAGGGAGAATCACCCTGAAGCTTAAGGGCCAGCCAGCCTGTGGTACACAGCACAACAGCAGCAAGACAGACCCCACTCAGTAAGAGGAAGAGCGAGACCGAATCCCAGCAGCTTCCTCTGACCGCCACGTGTCATGGTGCACACACCCAGTCACATATCACATACACACAGTAATAAATAAGTTTTTAAAAACTTAAAACTCAAATCAACTATCTAGAAAATACTGTGGAGAGTTGAGTATTTTTGCCAAGTTCAAGTTGGAAATCACTCTTTTTCTTTTATTTTTATCTTCTGTGTAGGAGTGTTTTGCCGGCATGTATCTAAGTACACCATGTGCTTGCAATGGCTACAGAAGCCAGAAGAGGGCATCGGATCCGCTGGGACTGTAGCTACAATTTTGAGTACTGGGAACCAAACCCAGATCCTCTCTGCAAGAGCAGTCAGTGCTCTTAACTGCCGAGCCAACTCTCCAGCCCAAAATTCAGTCCTTTTAATGCACTGTACAATGTATCTACTTAGAATATTTCTTACCATCCACAGAACCAAACTCCCGTTCATGTGCACGAGTAAGGATCTCTTTGTACAGTGTTTCTGCTTGCTTGAACTTTCCTTGTTTCAGGTAACAGGAGGCCTCAAAAGAGAATAAAACACTTAGTGCCCTTCACATGCAAATCAAGCATGCTTTTTTGGGGGGAGAGGGGGTTTGTTTGAGACAGGGTCTCCCTGTAGCCCCAGCTGGCCTGGAACTCGCTACGAAGACCAGGCTGGCTTTGAACTCATAGAGATCCTCCTGCCTCTGCCTCAAGTGCTAGGAATAAAGGTGTCCGCCACCACGCCATGCTTAAAGCATTTTTTTTTTTTTTTTTTTTTTGGTCTTTTTGAAACAGGGTCTTCCTGTAGCCCCAGCTGTCCTACAACTCACTATGTAGACCAGGCTGCCCTTGAACTCAGAGATCCACCTGCCTCTGCCTCCCGAGTGCTGGGATAAAAGGCGTGCGCCACCAAGCCTGGCCATATAAAGCATTAACTTTTATCTACAGGGGAATTACAGTGCTTTTGGATCAGCATCTTCAGGGCCCATCTGCAGCGTACCAGGTTGTTCTTGGTCTTGGCCACGTTGGGGTCGTCGGGTCCCAGTCTCGTCTGGTAGATCTCAAGGGCCCTCTGGTAGTAGTGCTCCACCTCCTCGTACTTGCCCTGGTTCTGGCATAGCAGGGCCAAGTTATTTAACTGCTTGGCCACATCAGGGTGATCCTTTCCCAGAACCTACAATTAAACACAGCAAATGAGAAACACTGCCAGTACCACCCTATCTACTGGCTACTCTCCTGCCAGAGTACTCTCCAAAAGTATCAGTTCAGCGGCCCTGCTCCCCTCCAGGCTTAAATCCTCACAGGGTTCCAGGCTGCACACCTCAGCAGAGTAACCAGCATCTCCTGGTATCATTCTTGAGGGAAAGAGGCAAGGTATGCTCATTTTCCTTAACTCCATTTTTTCACTGGGAACAAGCAGATGTTGAAGCAAGGTCTCATGAAGCCCAGGCTGGGCTTGAACTCACTATGTAGCCAGGGATGACCTTGAACATCATCCTCCTGCCTCTACCCTCCAAGTGCTAGGATAATAACAAGTGTGAGCCACCACACCTGGCTCTTTTTGTTGCTGTTTTGTTTTTGGGTTTTTTTGTTTTGTTTTTGGTCTTTTTGAGACAGGGTCTCCCTGTAGCCCCACCTGTCCTGGAACTCACTATATGTAGACCAGGCTGGCCTCGAACTCACAGAGACCCGCCTGCCTCTGCCTCCCCAGTGCTGGGATTAAAGGTGTGCGCCACCACGCCTGGCCTTGTTTTGTTTTTTTGAAACAGGTCTCACTCTAGTGCAGGCTAATCTAGAACTATGTAGCCCAGGTTAGCTTCCAAAGCATGGTAGTACTGCCTTAGCCTCAACTGCTGTAATTATGGCATGAGTCACCACACCTCCAGGTGCTTTGTCTAATTCCTGTGGGAATCCCTCATGGTGGGTGCCATCACTTAACACTGTAAGCTGAAGAAGCCAGGTTCATGAAAGATTTAAGGGTCTGAGCTTAAACCCACCATTTCTGCTGCTCAGTCCTCCTACCATTCCCACTAATGAATCATCCTCTAGGGCCTCAGAGGAGGCCCAACAACCCTACCCTCCCTCCCTCTGCTACCTCACAAGCACATCACCTGCTGTTTTCTTGACAAGTCTCACTGCCCAAAATTATCTTACTTCACACAGGGCGTGGTGGCGCACGCCTTTAATCCTAGCATTCGGGAGGCAGAGGCAGGCGGATCTCTGAGTTCAAGGCCAGCCTGGTCTATGTAGTGAGTTCCAGGTCAGCTGGGGCTACAGGGAGACCCTGTCTCAAAAAGACCAAAAAAAAAATCATCTTGCTTACACTTTACTGCCGAACCTCTCCCCCTAAAATGCAAACTGAAGAGTATAAGGTTGGACCTCTCTTTGCCATCAATGTGACCTTAGCATTATCTCTAGAAAAGGCACCTGGCACAAAGGGAGGAACCAACTCTCACTCCCTCCTTCCATAGCCTGGCCACGCACTGGCCCTCCTCCTCAGCTGTGCCTTCACACGCTGCTCCCACACGTCCTACCTCTCCCACCCCCAGAAACTGAGACGTCAGCTAACCAAATTCAATTCAAACACAAACCTCTCAAAAACCAACTCAACACCCTCCAAGCCCCAGGAACCTGCCTCCCCTGTGGCTCTATCCTACAGGTGATGTGCCCTGTGGTCCCCAGCCTGTCGAGTGACTGTGCTCCACCAAGCACAGAGTTCTCAAAGAATTAATTTGGCAGATTTTTTTTTTTTGAGTCTTGCTGTTTCATCTCAGCTAGTCCTGGAGCTGCTGAACTTAATGAAGAATCCACCCTGACCTGTAGCTCTGAGTCAATCTGTAGTTCTTTAAACATCTTTTTTTTTTTTTTAACTTTTTTTTTTTTTTTTTTGTTTTTGTATTTTTTCCGTCCTTAGTGCACCCATGTAGTACAATGCCCACAGAGGACAGAATAGGCTGTCAGATCCCCTGGAACTGGAGTTACAGACAGCTGTTAGCTGCCATGTGGGTGCTGGGATTCTCAAACCCGGGTCTTCTACAAGAACAGCCAGTGTTCTTAACTGCTGAGCCATCTCTCCAGCCCTTTGAAACATCTTTTTGGCTGGGTGTGGTGGTGCACGCCTTTAGTCCCAGCACTTGGGGGGCAGAGGCAGGTGGATCTCTGTGAGTTCAAGGCCAGCCTGGTCTACACAGTGAGTTCCAGGCCAGCTGGGGCTACAGGGAGACCCTGTCTCAAAAAGACCAAAAAAAAAAAAAAAATCTTTTTTTACACTTCATAGTTCTCTGTGGTAAACATTCTTTTTTTTTTTTCAATGTGTACGAGTTTTGCCTGCGTGTATGTGAATGCATCCATGCACACATGCCCATGAAGGCCAGAAGATGAAGTGAGAGCCCCTGGAACTGGAATTATTGATGGTTCTTAGCCACCATGTGGGTGCTGGGAACTGGTCTTCTGGAAGATCAGCAAGTGCTCTTAACCATCTCTCCAGCCCTATAAGCTTATTCTTAAACTGAAACATCTTTAATGACCATCACACACCACTCTGAAGAGCAGACTCCCTGCACCACACACCTGCAGCTCAGAAACTCCTTGTTCTGGGCGATAACAAAGGCACATGCTGCCCAAGGAGGGGACAGGCAGAACGGGCCTTCTTCAGGGGCTTATCTGTCTTCTAAATACGTGATTCCAGACAGTGAGCAGGTGTGATGCAGCACAGTGCTCACTTCTCAGAACGTAAAAGGAACCTCCAAGAAGAACCCTGGCTGTTTCATACCTTTTCTCTAATCTCCAGGGCTCGTTTACACAGTGGCTCCGCCTCTTTGTACTTCCCTCGTTTACCGTACAATACGGCAAGGTTGTTGAGCGTTGCTGCCACCTGCCAACACAGAAGGAAGCAGTGAGGGATGCTGGAAGCGGCCGTACCCCAGACCCACCCCAGACCTACCATTTTCCACCCCACAGGGAAGCACACTTTACTGGATAAGAGAACAAGACTTCCAGTCAGAGGAAGAGTAATTCACTATGAGATAGATCACTATAATTACATAAATCAACATGATCTTGATTTTCCATTTTTTTGGAAGCCACAAAACCAAAACAGATCTCTATGCAAATCTGACCAGATTCTATAAAAACACAACATAAAATCTTGAAAACAAATCTAGAGAAGGGCATGCAATCTGATTTTGGATCAAAGTGCAGCCAGCAGTGATCCATCTGAGGTGATGACTGTAACAAATCAGGAGTGACCCCAGTAAGTGAGCACGTCACTGCCCTGGGCAAAGCCCTACCTGTGCCATCTGGGACAAGGTGGCTCTCAGACCCTCCCTGTTGAGCTTGACACTGAGATGAGCTGGACAAAAATGTACTGGGGAAAATAAAATGTAAAAGATTGAAAGACACAGGTATACAAACCGCGGGGTGATCTTTGCCCAGGGTTTTCTCACGGATAGCCAAGGCATCGTTCAGGAGATTAGCTGCATCTTTGTATTTGTTCTGATCCCTAAACCAAAACACACACATTGAGTGTTTAGCTGAGGTTACTAAACCAAACTATCTGAGCAAGTAATTATGGGTACTAAGGACTGAACCCATGGTTCAGACATGCTAAGCATTTGCTACCACCGAGCTACAGCCAGCCTAAACCTTTTTTGTTTATGTGTATGAGTGTTATGCCTGCATGTGTGTGAGTGCACTGGTGTTGTGCAGTGCCCACAGAGGACAGAAGAGGGTGTCAGATCCCCTGGACCTGGAGTTACTGTCGGTTGTTAGCCACCATGTGGGTGCTGGGATTCAAACCTGAGTCTTCTACAAGAACAGCCAGTACTCTTAACCACTAAGCTATCTCTCCAGCCCCATAGCCCAACTCCTTTTAAAATGTGATTTTGGAATAATAGAAATTGTTCCAACTATTTCAGGTTTTGTTTTGATTTTTTTTTTTTCTTTTTGGAGACAGGGTCTCCCTGTAGTCCCACCTGTCCTAGAACTTGCTATGTAGACCTGGCTAGCCTTGAACTCACAGGGAACCTCCTTCCTCTACCTCCTGAGTGCTGGGATTAAAGGTATGCACCTCCATTCCTGGCTCTTTTTTTTCTTTTATTAAAGAATTAATTAATTAAAGACTGAGGCCGGCCTCAGTCTCACAGAGATCCACCTCCCAAGTACTGAGACTAAAGGTGTGTACCACCGTGTCCAGTTTTTTATTTCTTCTTATAAAAATATTTTATTTATTTTGGTTTTTTTGAGACAGGGTCTGTCTATAGCCCCAGCTGGCCTGGAACTCACTATGTAGACTAGGTTGGCCTTGGTCTCACAGAGATCTTTCTGCCTCTGCCTCCCAAGTGCTAGGGTTAAAAGCATGAGCCACCACTCCCAGCCTTAAAATATTTTTTAAAAAGAAATTTCAGCCCAGGTGTGGTGGCACATGCCTTTAATCCCAGCACTCAAGAGGCAGAGGCAGAGTCAGAAAGATCTCTGTGAGACCAAGGCCAACCTGGTCTAAATGGTGAGTTCCAGGCCAGCTGGAGCCTCAGCGAAATCTTGTCTCAAAAAGAACAAAAAAAAAAAATTCAGAGGCAGATACAGGTGACTAAACTATGTACTCAAAGAAATCCACATTGAAACTCAATACCTCACTCACCCATAAGGAAGAGCCCACTAGGGCTGCCAAGACAGGGGCAGTAAACATGCCAGAAGCAAGAAGGGGCACCACCCTCTAAAAGCAGCTAGGCAGAATGTGCTAAGAACTGAAAGATTTAAATGCTAATCCATCTTGGGAGATCGCCAAGAAACAAATTGTTGGACACTTAAAGATGTTCATTTGAGGGGCTGGAGACACGGCTCAGCAGTTAAGAACACTGGCTGTTCTTGCAGAAGACCCAGGTTCAAATCCCAGCACCCACATGGCAGCTAACTGTAATTTCAGTCCCAGAGGATCCGACAGCCTCTTCTGTCCTCCATGGGCACTGCACGACACGAGTGCGCGTACCTACATACAGGGAATACACGCATACACATAAAATAAAAAATAAATAAAATATTTTTTTAAAAAAGACTGGCTGGGCATGATGGCGCATGCCTTTAATTCCAGCACTTGGGAGGCAGAGGCAGGTAGAACTTTGTGAGTTCGAGGCCAGCCTGGTCTACATAGTAAGTTCCAGGACAGCTGGGGCTACAAGGAGACTGCCTCAAAAAAGACCAAAATAAAGATGTTCATTTGAATGGCCAAAAAAGTTTAAAATGAAATGTTCCTTGCTGGGTGTGGTGTCTCATGACTTTAATCCCAGCATTCAGGAGGCAGAGGCAAGTGGATCTCTATAACAAGACCAGCCTGGTCTACAGAACAAATGCCAAGGCTACATAGTGATACCTTATCTAAAAAAAAGGTCCTTAATATGAGCATAGTGAATAGTAAGTTACAATCCAGTTGCAGGGTGGGGTACTGAATACAGCACATTCTCAGTTACTACTTATTTTTCAAGCTTTTTGCTTCTGGGATAAACTCTCATGTTATAACATTAAGGAGAAACACAGGCTTGAAAAGAGGCCACCACAGGGGCTGGAGAGACGGCTCAGCAGTGAAGAGCACTGACTGCTCCTGCAGAGGACCCGGGTTCGATCCCCAGCACCCACATGGCAGCTACAAACCGTCCTTAACTCCAGTTTCAGGGGAATCCAAAACCCTCTTCTGACCTCCGAGGCATGGCACGACACAGGTGCACTCTCACACACGCAGGCAATACACTCATGCACATAAAATAAAAATAATATTTTTTTAAAAAAAGAAATCCAGCACTCGGGAGGCAGAGGCAGGTGGATCTTTTTGAGTTTGAGGCCAGCTTGGTCTACATAGCAAGGTCCAAGACAGCTGGGGCTACAGAGAGACCCTGTCTCAAAAAGACCAAAAAAAAGCCAAAAAAGAAAAGAGGCCATCACAGCACAAGAGCCCAGCAGAGTAACAACTGTCAGCACACACAACCGTGTAACAGCAAAATACTTAGTCTATACTTTTTAACTCAATTTACTACCGACAGCAGGTCAGAAACTCTCACATACTGTCAAAAGGCATAGGATTCTTTTTTTTCTTTGAGACAGGGTCTCCTATAACCCCAGCTGTCCTGGAACTATATAGACTAGGCTGGCCTCGAACTCACAGAGATCCGCCTACCTCTGCCTCCCAAGTGCTGGGATTAAAGGTGTGCGCCACCACGCCGGGAGTGGGCATAGAATTCTTAAAACACAAGCTACTAAGACATTAAATGTAAACTGCCTGTGACTAAGGAATCCTACAGTGCAGCTCTGCATGAAGTCTAGATGTTCATCAATAGGAAAACAACCAAAGTTCTGACAGCACCAGGCAGTCAGTCAGACACTCCTGCAGCAAATGACAGGCCATCAGCAGGACCCTACCTAACTGTTAAGAGTCTTTCCAGTGAGAGCAACCTTCAAACTCCCCACTTCCCCAATGGGGCAGCATGGCTGCTTACCTCATCAGGAGCCCTAGGTACCTCTCCTCCTGCACCGTACCCCACTCTGCTCAGGACACCCTCACACAGCCCCCAATGCCCATCCTTTTGCAGTGTGTGCAGATTTATAAAACACACTGTAAAGACAAGTTGGTTAAGAGCTGCCTCTAGATACAATTCAGTACAGAAACCAAGGACTAGCCTGTACACCAGGGCCAGGATGTTGAGCATGGTGGCCACGTCAGGGTGGTCATGGCCTGATGTTTTCTCCAGGTCCTCCAGGGCCTGCTTGCAGAGTGGCACTGCCACCTCATAGCGCCCCTGTGACGCATACTGGATCACCAGGTTGTGGAGCGTGCGTAACCGTGCTGGGATCTCGTAGCCACCCTGCTGAGCGGCGGCTGCAGCGCTGCTGTGCTGCTGTTGGACTGCAGGGAGAAGGCACAGGTCAGAGGGTGGTTAGAACAGCTGCAGACGGCCAGTTAACTTTTCCCTCCACTCTAGTTCCAGTTAGCTCACGTGCCAATTCAGACTTTGCTGGGTACATGTGCAACACGTTGGGAGAGAACCAGCCTCCAGCAGTGGCACCCTGCAGGCTGACAGTCCCACAGGACACCTCTGGGTGAGACACTAAGGAAGAGGTAGGCAACTCTGACCTCTCCCACCCTGTGAAGACCCACAGGTCTGTTTACTGGGGTCTGGCCTACACATTAATATATCCCAACATACACAAACTAGAGTTTAGGGAAAACAAAGGTAATCTGCCAGGTATGGTGACACACACCTGAATCCCAGCACTGGAGAAGACGAGGCAGGGGGAATAAGAATTCCAAGCCATCCTAGGCTACAACAGATGCTGTATGTATAAACACATGAATGAATGAATGAATGAATGAATGAATGACTAAACAGTAATCCCACTGTGCTCAGCCTTCTGCACCACAGGCTAAGTAACTGCCAACTATGACAAGGATGTACTCAGAAAGAGAGCAGCACTACCGCACCACACTTGGGGACACAGCCACCACTTGTCACTCACTTCCTTGGCCTGGATCATCCTCATCATTTGGGAAGAGGTCATCCAGGGGCTCTTTGGCAGAATCAGAGTCTTTGTCCTCCTACAAGAGACCCAGAACAGCTTTCATTCCACAGAACTTCACATGCTGCCTGTCAATAATTATCACTGACAGTGAGAGTATGTGCCAAGCACAGTTTCCCCGAGTCAGACACTTTCCAAAATAAAAAGCTTAAGTGTCTGAGTCTGCAAATGCAACCGTTCCCTTAACACCACGTGTCTATGTATGTGTGCATGCTCCCAGATGAAGGAGCCTGAGCGGTCAACCTCAGGGGCTATCTATTCTGCAGGAACTGTCTACCTTGTTTTTGAGACAGAGACTCTCACTGGGACCTGGGACTCACTGACAAGGCTGGCTGGCTGGCCTCCCTACTGCTCTCCCTGTCTCTACCTCCCCAGTGCTAGGATTATAAGCATGCTGTACCACACTGCTTTTTACATGTGGTAGGGATCAAACTCAGGTACTCATGCATGTGAGGCAAGCACTTAACCAAATGAGGCACCTCCTTAGGCCCCTTCTTGATACTTTTATGCTCCAGGTAAACTCCTGACTGGAACCACCATCCCCAAGTATCTTCTCCCACAGCAATCCACATCAGACACTTAAGTGTCTCCTGAGAGAGGAGACTTCATGTAGGAGAAATATGGTAAGCCTAATGAATCAGAGCTGTTATGTGAGTCTTCCATGACCCCCACATTCACATTTAGACTTAACTCCAATGTGATAGCATTTGGAGGCAGAGCCCTGGGAGGTGGTAAGGGTTAGATGAGCCAGAGGGTGGGCATCATGATGCTGTCCCTGGTCACACAAAAAAAGACACCAGAAAACTTACTGCTCTCTCCCCCAGGTAAAGGCAGAGCCTTTACAAAGGAAGCCATCTACAAGCCAAATTGAGGCCCTCAGCAGACAGACCCCACCTGCTGGACTCTAATCTCAGAGTTCCAGCCTCCAGACTGGGGGGAAGTTAAGTGCTCTAGTATTTTGCTGTGGTTACCCAGTAGAGGACAACAGAGGGTAAACGCAGTCTGCTGATGTGTCATACACTGTTCCAGGGGCCTTAGGCAGGGGTCAGAATGGGCACAAATGTGGAAATGACTGGTACACTGATTGCGCATATGCCTGGCACAGGGAGGCAGCTCTAAACCCACTGTGGAGCCCTGGGCTACACCCTGCAACAGAAAAGGGCTCACTAGAGGAGCTGGTATCATCCAGCAGAGTCTATGGCTCCATCAGCAGCAATGTGGCAAGGCTCATTTCTCTTTTTAACATTTTACATTAAATATTTTTAATGTAATTTTTAATATTTTTTAAATATTTTATTTATAATTTTTATTTTATGTGTATGAGTGCACCCATGTCCTGCAATGCCCACGGAGGACAGAAGAGGCTGTCGGATCCCCTGGAACTGGAGTTAAGAACAGTTGTTAGCTGCCATGTGGGTGCTGGGATTTGAACCCAGGTCTTCTTCAAGAACAGCCAGTGTTCTTAACCGCTGAGCCATCTCTCCTGCCCCTATATATATTTTTTTATGTGTATGAGTGTATTGCTGGCATCTATGTAAGTGCACCTGTGTTGTGCAATGCCCATGGAGGTCAGAAGAGGGCATCGGATTTCCTGGAACTAGAGTTACAGATGGTTGTTAGCTGCCACGTGGGTGCTGGGAACCAAACCAGGGTCCTCTGCAAGAGCAGCCAATGTTCCAAATCTCTCCAGCTCAGCAATGCCCATTTTTTAACTGTGGCAAATGTGCTATAATCACATAATCACATAAGATGTTGACATTGAGAACTGGGCTGAGTCACAAATAAGTAGATGAAAAAATAACTGAGACTAAGAGAAACATCAAAAAGAAAAAGAAAATACAGGGTTAGAAAGATTAGCTGGTAAGAGGGCTGCAGAGATGGCTCATCGGTTAAGAGCACTGACCGCTCTTGCAGAGGACCTGGGTTCAATTCCTAGCACCCACATGGCAGCAACCAACTGTCCACTCACATACATGCAGGCAATACACTCATACACATAAAATAAAAATAATAAATAAAATATTTTTAAAAAGCCAGGCATGGTGGTGCATGCCTTTAATCCCAGCACTTGGGAGGCAGAGGCAGGCGGATCTCTGTGAGTTCAAGGCCAGCCTGGTCTACAAAGTGAGTTCCAGGCTAGCTGGGGCTACAGGGAGACCCTGTCTCAAAAAGACCAAAATGAATAAATAAATAAATAAAAATAAAAATAAAAAAATAAAAAGAAAGATAGCTGGCAAAAAGGCCAAGGACCAGGACCGTCCTGCTGAGAAGAGGAAGGACAGAGTTTCAGAGACAGTCAAGGACATCACAAGCAGCACAGCAAGCTCAGAGCTGGGACTACAGACGTGGCACCAGGCCCTGCAGCAAAGCCGACAGTAGGAAGCCAGAATGGGAGGTGAGACCCTCACAGCATCAGCTGGGGCTGCACTGGCCATCGAGCTAGGGAGTCTTGTAAATACAAAGATGCACTTAACACTGTTCTAAAAAACACATTCAAGGGGCTGGAGAGATGGCTCAGCAGTTAAGAACACTGGTTGTTCTTGCAGAAGACCAGGGTTTGAATCCCAGCACCCACATGGCAGCTAACAACCGTCCATAACTCCAGTTCCAGGGGATCCAACAGCCTCCTCTGTCCTCCATGGGCATTACACGACACGGGTGCACTTACCTACATGCAGGCAATATACACATACACATAACACTATTTTTTTTAATTTAAAAATTAAAACACACACACACACACACATTTAAAATACAGTGGAATGCTGGGTATGGTGGCACATGCCTTTAATCCCAGCCCTCAGGAGGCAGAGGCAGGCAGATCTCTGTGAGTTCGAGGCCCGTCTGGTCTATGTATTGAGTTCCAGGCCAGCTGAGGCTGCAGGGAGACCCTGTCTTTAAAAATACAAAAAAAAACAGTGGAGAAACAACCATCCACCGCCCAGACCTCTGCCAGTGACCCTGCTACACAGTCCCTTGTGGGGTAAGGACAAACGCGCAGCTCTACCACGGCACTTCCTGAGCACAGTGTGTGGTAACACACAGGTGAGCACCACTCACCGAGGGAGAGATGTCATCGTCGTACTTCTTGAGCTGGTTCATGAACTCCAGGTGCTTCTTTTCTTCCTCCAGCTGAGCCACAGACTGCTCACTCTTCTGTAACTTCTGCTGGGTGTTGGCCAGTTCATCCCGCAGCCACTGGTTCTCCTGGCACAGACGACGAACCTGAGCTCGCAGTTTCTGTTTCTCCGACTCCACAGCATTCAGGTGGTTGGATAGGGCCATCATCACCTGAACAGAAGAGGCCTTTACTCACTGCCACATGCAGTCGGGGAAGAGCCCCTCCTACCACACAGCCAGGCCTGCAGCTCCAGTTCCCACTCACACATATCTTCTCCCATCCTGGAGTGGTGGCGCACGCCTTTAGTCCCAGCACTAGGGAGGCAGAGGCAGGGAGATCTCTGAGATCGAGGTCAGCCTGGTCTACATAGTGAGTTCCAGGGCTGCAGGGGGACCCTGTCTCAGAGAGAGGAAAAGCAAAAAAATATTTCTCCATGGTACATGTAAGCAAGAGCCGCCATCTTTTTGTCCTTCACCTCTCCGCACAGACTACATACTGGGTGTGTGGGTACCACAAGCTCAGATCATCTACATCTCAGCTCTGTGACAGCACCTCAAGCAGACCAGAAATAAACGCGTCTCCTCTTCTGGTGTACTTTACTCTCCATGGAGACCATCTAGCCTCACTTTGCATGGGCCTTTTTCTATGTGAGGGTGCATGTGTGTAGAGTGCAGGCAGGTGAGGGCTGGAGGTGGAGCTGAGAAGAACAGCATACAGATAACAGCATACAGATCATCTTCACAAATAAGGTAAGGGAAGAGTCTTCTGTAGCTACCACCAACTGCCCCATGGTTGAAAGACCTAGAGTAGAAAGACCAGGAGGCCGGGGAAGCCAGCGGGCTTCTGCCCTTCCTTGTCATAATAGTACCCATGCCACCACCCTCCTAGATCTAAAACCTGAACACTCTAGAAGATGGGCTTTTCCTTCCTTCAATTAAAAAAAAAAACGACTATCTTCTGCCAAATGAGAAAATCTCAGATGCATATAACCTTTCAACAACAGAACTGAGGGTCACATCAATATGTAAAGCCATCAAGCCTGATGACCTGAGTTCAATCTTTGGGATCCACATGGTCTTCCAGCACTTAGAGGCAGAGGCAGGCAGTTCTCTTGTGAGTTTGAGGTCAGCCTGGTCTACACAGTGAGTTCTAGGCCAGCTGGGGCTACTGGGAGACCCTGTCTCAAAAAGACCAATAAATAAATAAACAAACAAACAAACAAATTGACAGGCGTGGTGGCACACGCCTTTATCCTGGCACTTAGGAGGCAGAGGCAGGCGGACCTCTGTGAGTTGAAGGTCAGCCTGGTCTACACAGTGAGTTCCAGGACAGCTGGGGCTACAGGGAGACCCTGTCTCAAAAAGACCAATTAATTAATTAACTAACTAACTAACTAACTAACTAATTGTCGGGCATGGTGGCACATGCCTTTAATCCCAGCACTTGGGAGGCAGAGACAGGTGGATCTCTGAGTTCAAGGC